CTTTTTATACTTTAGGTGTTTCCTCAACGGGGTCATTTTTAGAATCTGAAAGGATTAGTCAACGAGTCTTTGGCCTAGAGGGAATAACATTATCATGGTTTTTATCACCAGAGTCAGAAAAGTGACCAATAACGATCGAAAGACTGCCAGGCCCAGACGTACCTTACATAGTCTTTTCTTAGGTGGTGAGGCCTGGTCCAAAGGAACAACTGCTATGGCTTTCTGAGCAACTCTGACCCGTGAGTGAGTCATACGCGTCGGGACATTAGAAATAAGGGGATGAGGTTGACGAGGCTGAGTAGATGCAACCCTTGGTGGGTTGGATTTTGCTAGGAGTGCTAGGGCTAGAAGCTTGAAGCGAGAATACAGACTGGTCTAATGGCTGCAAGAAGAAGGTATGTGTAAAGACAAGTCCCTCTGAGGGATGCGCTCAGTGGTTGGGACTATGGGAGTACTGTTGCAGAAATTATGGAAGGAATCCAAATTTGCGTCTCCAGAAGAGCCGATTGCTAAGAGTAAAAGAACCCTCCATTCCAAGCGAGGGAAACTCCATGAAGGTAAGACCCTGTATATGTCAGTGTGATTGTTGATGAACCGCATAAAACTCTAATGGTAGTCTAGGAAAGGGGGAAGAACACCGAGAATGTCTTAGTCCATACAAACTGCCTAAGGAGTCTATCATGAGGATACACCACGCTCGACATTCCTTCTTCATACTAGACAAGGAGATAGCTTGGACATATCATTGTTGTCACATTTGACAGAGTTGGTTTGAATGCTAGAAACAAAAAAGTAAACATGATGGGCCTCAACAAAGTAAAAAAGAACTACTGATATACCAGGAAAATCCTGGGTGTAAGGACAAAATACACATTCATCAATGAAGTCGACGTAGTCTAAGAAAGGCTTGTTGCATCCAACTTCACACCATTGAGTGATACGCGAGAGAGAGTTATTGACTTCCTTCACCACCGTGTTTCCCTCAGCATCCAAGCCCACGTTACCCTCAGTATCTAGAACCTTCTTGATGAAAGAAATATTGTATTGTCTAGGCTCTGGGCCGCATGAAGGAAATCACTCATAAAAGAAAGCAATCAAGAATTGGGTGTGAATGAAGCTCCATACATCGTAGTGACCCATGGTTCGGGTTGAATCCGAATTAATCATGTCTAAATGGGTATACAAGTTCCCTAAAAAGAGAGGGGCCAAGGGAATGTGAGACCCACTGCAAAGACGAACTACCAAAGGTAACACCAATGGATTTAAACTATCAGAAGGGTTACTGGAGAGAACGAAAAAAGACTAGAAATAACTGATGATGGAAGCGAACATCAAATTGGTACGATATGTAGGACCCTCGATAGAGGCGAGAGTGTGCTGAGTAACGGTACCCACCACTGGCTAAATGTCTTTGAAAAAATGGCGCATCCAGGAGAGATAAAAGGTTTTGTTTTTCTTAGGCCTCATGCCAAAAGCGTTCGCTAGTGTTTAGGTCAAACTAGGACCCCCCATTTCCTTGCCTTACTAAACGCCACTTGCAAAGCATCAACTGTTCCTCTCTCATCAATCATCAAAGAAGCGGGATCGAAGATGTGGTCCCCTCGAAGACTCAAATGAGGTAGAATTATCATGTCCTCCAAAGTCAGGCCAATCTCACTCCAAGAGAAAGTGAAAGTGTGGGTGCCTCGACTCTATCGGGAGACGATTATGTCGATGTTGGTCTGAAGTTTGCAAATAGAAAGATCTCTTGAAGTAATAATGGCACCAAAGAGCTACACATTCCTCAGGCACTGTTCCAAGGCAGGATTCCTAATGATGACCCAGTAGACATAACCGTCTAAAGGGCCAGAGTGGGTGCGATAATAAATGAATAAATGAAAGAAGTCCCCACACTCCACGCGAAACCACAGCACTGATTCAGGGTTTATCATGTCAGCGTCCTCTAGAGAAGCCTCAGGGAAGGGAAGCAAAGGCTCCTTCAGAATAGGTGCACCAAGAACGAAGGCATCGACGTTTCTTCAAATGGGGCTTGTGAGGCCACTAATATAGGGGGGCCCTTATCTAGTTAGAGCGAGGAGGAACGAGCTTGTCTACAAGAAGTCTCCCAACCATGGATGATCACAAAGGAAAACAAAAAATAAGGCTGTGTTTGGTTACGTGTTCCAAACACATTTCCACCCACTGATTTGAGTGTGGTGTTTGTTTTGAACTTTCAAATTATAATTCCACATCCACTTTTGAAAACTCCTTTCTAGGCGGGAAAATTTGGCTAACTCGGTTGTCCTCCCGGAGTCCCCCCGGACATCCAGGCAGTTGACTGGAACAGTGTTTGGTTTTTTTTTTTTTTTTTAACCCGGTTGTCCTCCCGGAGTCCCCCCGGACATCTAAGCAGTTGACTGGAACATTGTTTGGTTTTTTTTTTTTTTTTTGGTACCTGTTATTTTTATATTGTAAATAAAAAATATTTTTGAAAGTTTTTAAATTTTTATATGAGCTTTAAATAGAATTTTGAGTTGTGTGTTTGGGTATGAGTTGTAAGTTTTTGAATAAAATAACTTTTCTAATTTCAAAAACTCAAAACTCCCTCCAAAATTCTTTTCAAAACTCATAACTAAACAAATTTTCCATACTCAAAAATCATAATTCCAAAACTCTATAGCTTAAAATACAATTCTATTTTCAAATCATATTTATAAAACTCTACCAAACGCTACCTAGGTTTTTTTTTCCTCAAAAACAAAGACGATCTTCTAAAAGAAAGGAGTAAGAGACCAAAAGCTAAGAAAAAAGAAGCAGAGAAAAGTGAGAGATTTGATGGGCCCCTAAGGGCTTTATTTATAGAGGGAACCGTTGTCATGTCTCTTCAAGACCATAATGATTTTGTAGAAAGCAGCGCAACCTTTTGCTAAAAAGACGCGACTTTTGGCATAGTAGGTTGACATCATGCACGCGCAAAAAAAAAAAAAGACACATGTTTCCCACGCGCGCATGGGGCAATTGTAGAAGGAGAGAAATTAAGACACTGACTTAATTATTGGAGTTGCCTTAATTAGGCGAATAAGTGTCACTAAATGAATAGGGGTCAAAACCCAAAAGAAATGGGTTAACTAGAGAATTGAATCAGATCCGACCCACTTGGGCCAAATAGGCTATGAGCAAAGTCCAAGGGAACTTGTTAAGGTACTACTTGTCGAGGTCCAGTTGCTAAGGCATACCCTACATTAGCACCGCAATTTTTCATTACGGTGCTGCTTTGGTCACTTGCTAAGGGAAAGGGAGCCATGGCAACTCCAACCTCTGCAACTACTTTTTGAAGCACAATAACCTTTGAGATAGGCCTTCTCCATACAAGATAATGCACAGATTCTTGGCGCCGATAGCAAGTACCAAAGCACTAATTGCCAATGGCTGATAGTAGGCCCGAAGCACATATAGCTTGGCACTGATAGCAGACCCCAATGCTTACTTAATTGAGCTGATAGCATGCACTGGTATACCACGATGACCCCGTGAAGATGGGAGCAGGATAACAATGGACTTTCTTTTCATATACTTAGGTCAAGAACTTGCATTGGTTGCACAAGTAGGACCAAGGAAGCCTCCTTGGGCTTGGTACGAGGCACAACTCTTGCTGTGGCTCGCGTCATAGGAAGTTGGGGAGTTTATGGTTAGGTAGTTATGGATGAAGGAGACGTTGAGGTAGACACTAGTATGGCTAATAGCAGATCATAAGCCTTGAGAGTAGATGTCTTGGGAAACCGAATTGAGAAAGTAGGTGCCATGGCAACTAGGACACTTGCGAGGGTTCGTACCAAAAAGGTATATGTTGAGGCTTGTACCAAACAGATAGTACAGTGGCACTCCTTGAGGTTTTATACCAAACAAATAGTACATGTCAAGGGACACATGTCTACCAAGGTTTGGTGGTTTAGAACAAAATATCCTATGATACGTGTCGCTATACTGTTTGGTCATTTGATATATTCTGGTATTAAGGAAAAACCTATAAATAGGGCTCAATTTCCAAGGTTCAAGAGATAATGTTTTGGGAATTAGAGGGATACACTGCCCATTTGATTACACTGCCATTTTCTTTTTCTGGACCACTTGGCTATCCACTCTTTGCTCAGCCAAAATTATTGACTCATTGACACAGTTTTGCCTCTCTAAGTTATATTATTACTATTTATTTTAGACTCGCTACACGCATATTCATCATCACCCCTCCTCCATTTTCATTGCCATTTCGAGCACTTTTGTCAATCAAAGTTTTAATTTGGCAATGCCAGCAAGACTATGTAATAGCAACATTATACAACAAACCACATGACTCAATTATTTAGAACATCAAAGATTCAAATGTACTTATTCAAAACTTGAGGGAGTTGAATTGTAATTTCCATTTCTATTTTCTCTCCAATTTTATAAATAAATAAAGTTATACGTATAATTAATATATTAATAAATGAAATGATATAATATAATTTTAAATCTTTGTATAATGAATGAATGAACAATGTAATTTTAAAATAGTTCTCTTCGAAGATGTCGTGTCGTACTCCAATCGAACTTTGGCCATGGTTGGGGCAGGTGATGCACTCTGGTGCCTCAGTGGCGAGTTCCTTCTTATAGATTAGGTTAAATTAGGCAGATCTGGACCACCGGGCTGGGTCTCTGGAGTGGCGAGTCCCTTCCTATAGATTAAGTTAAATCAGGCAGATCCGGACCACTGGGCTGGGTCTCTGGAGTGGCGAGTCCCTTCCTATAGATTAAGTTAAATCAGGCAGATCCTCCGGACCACTGGGCTGGGTCTCTGGAGTGGCGAGTCCCTTCCTATAGATTAAGTTAAATCAGGCAGATCCGGACCACTGGGCTGGGTCTTTGGAGGTCGTGATAACAGCTCAGAACCTCTTAATTTTTTTTTTTTAATTTGTTTTTCGAGATGAAAAAAAAAAAAAAAAATACTCATGTAGCAGCATAAATTGAGTTTGTTTGGAACCAATACCTACCAACATTTTCTCCTCCACTTCCTCCGCCAAACATCAACTACCAATCTTCAGTCTCCGGAGGACTTTTCATCATATTCCTTCACCCTCCGATCCTCCTCCTTTCACATCGACCTCCAAAAGGTTCGTCCGATCAATTACTCACCGATTTTTCATGATCTCTTGTTTTGTAACTCTCAAATTTTGCTCAATTGCGGTTATTTCTAAGTAATTTATTTTAATTGTTGTTGATTATTATTATTATTGTTGGTGGTGTTGGTGGATTGATTTTGTGTATCGTATACATACATGCTTTAATTTAGGTTTTTATTGTGTTTTAGAGCAGTGATCAGAAATATGCCCTTGCTCAAATGTAAATACCCTGGAAAAAGCTATTCCCATTGCCAAACGGTGTCTTATTCGTGGTGGAATTGACTTTCTTGGCTCGATCAATTTGTTGTTTATTTTTCTGTGTGTTCTTGCGTTGTGATATATAGATGCTTGATCGTGGAATGATTTACTCTTTGATGCTCGTATATGGTACTTGATCACGAAATTATTTACCTATTTGGCGTAGAAAAGCAAATCTTCTTTCTCTATTGGTTTTAGTTTTTATCTAGATTGTATATGCTGCATAGAGAAATTTTTTAGTGATTGGGATTAAGGTATTGGAGTTTTAGTGGCCTGATTTTCAAGGCATGATGCTTGTGTTTGTTTAAGCTTATTTATTTATTCTTTAATGGTCATGTTTGAATTTATATTTTGGCCGGTCTTCCTCTGTGACCCCATAAGAGTGTGACGGCCTCGTGAATGTGTTGCGTATATCAGGTATGTGATTTCAAACATAGGACTTGCCTGCTCGGATACCATGTTAGTGGTGGTTTTAAACATAGGACTTGCCTGCTCCGATACCATGTTAATAACTAACTTTGTAGAAGCTTTAGCAAATAGAGAGAAGTGTAACTTATTTATTTATCTGATTACTTTGGTGTAGTAGAAATCAATTTCTTATTCTTTTATCATTCCCTCCCTCCCTTTCCCAAAAGGGGGAACAAAAAATTCTGTCTTTGTTTATGAATGTAAGTACATAGTAACATAGTTATGTGAGAATCCTTGGTGTTTAGATTTTCATGAAAATTGGATGGTTTTGTTGCCTATTCATGGTGCATTCAATGGTTGGATCCATAACAAAAACTTAGGTAGTGCATCAGCATAGAGATGAATTTTAATATCGTGAAATGACATCAAGTTGTCCAGACTCATGAATTGACATCAGTTTTTCTTACCACCAGTAATGATAATGATTGGCTTGTTGCTTGCAATTGCCACGTGCACACTGATGGACTCATAGAAACTTCTATCTGATACAAAAATACGGCAATTCAATTTTAAGGTTCATCTGGTTGTTGCTAACTGATATTGTTGTATAGCTGAAGTAAACTTTTATGTGCCAACTTCCTAACCGTTCCCCTTCCAGACCACATCCTTCATATGGTGTCTAACTAACAGCTTTGAAAATACAATTTGAACAGAAATGATTACTGATCAAGAAAAAGATTGCATGCTTCCTTTGTTAAGGTTTAATAGATAAGTATCTTATGATTGTTTTCAATTTTCTGTATTTCTCCCTCACCTTGTTCTATTATCATTCCACAGCCTTCGCTTTTTTGCTTCTTTTTTATATATTATTTTTTTATACATGCAAATTACGAAATTATGTTTTCTTTGCTAATGTCATTTTCTTTAACCTATTTGGCATGTTGTTACCCATTAACATTTTTTGCAGTTAAAGTGGACATTTTACTTTAGATTACCATTATTGTTGCTGCATTATAATATTTGGAGAGGAAAGAAATAAATTGACTGGCATCACAAATGCGGATTGGAATGGAGCTTCAGGAACTAAATCAGAAGTCAGGATGAAAGATATACTCGAGTGCTTGAATTCTTTCACAAGATACATTGTTGCTCATACTTGGAACTTGTACCATAATCAAATAATTGAAAAATCTGTTGACACACCTATTTTAATATTAAGTAATGTTGAGTGCTAATAAGCATGGATGTGACATGACGCGGACACTTAGACATGTAAATCTTTAAAAAATGTAGGATGCGACACATGGGAGACATGTGCAAAATATATAATTTTATATACGTATTATATGTCATATATTACGATAAGTAATTATTATATGTCATATATATGAATATTTAGGTTAAATATAATAATTTTTAAAGTTTAAAAGAGGAAAATAGGTATAGATTTACATTGTTTTTGTTTTGTTATTGCATTTTAAGTTGATTGTTCAAACTTGTAATGTATTTCATGTGTGTCTAAGTATTGGGAAGTGTTCGAAGAGTGTCGTGTCTTGTCGGTGACTCCGACATGTTACTTCTTAAAGTGTCTATGCTTCTTAGGTTGAGTGTCTCTAAGAGTCATCTCAAGTAACTTCTAAGTTGAATTAATGTCTAAGTTGTTGAATTGAGCCACACAAGATATTTAGTAGAGGTGGCAAACAAGCAGTTCGGGTGGGTTTGGGCAGGTTAAAATGGGTTGTGTGATAAAGCAATCCAACCCAAGCCTAGCCATTTAATAAATGGATTTAAGCGGTTGGGTTGAATTGGGTACGGGTTGGACATAGCAACCTGACAAACCCATTTAATTTATAGAACTCTTTTTCCAATGGTGGTGGGGGTGAGTGATGGTGATGGCAGTGGGATTGGCCGCCATGGTGGTGGTAAATTGTTTTAGGTCATAGAAATTTGTTCAGAACTCTTTGATTTCTCTACGGTCATTTTCAAAATCAACTGAACTGTTGGTATTTTTCTTTTGAATCAAATGCATAAAAAAGGAAAGCAGCTAAAAAATGTATAATTTTGTTTTTCAGTAACTTTTAAGGACTAAATGATTTTTATTTATCAAAAAAAAAAAAAAAGAAAAAAAAAAAGAACTAAAAGATTTTAAAATTATTATTATGAATTTATCAACTCATATAGCATCTCATAGAAATCCTGCCCTGGATAAGTTCTGTACTATCTCATAACTCAAATGTCTTTTCCCACTTATTTATTTTATTTTATAATCAGTGACCTATTTTTTTGGTTTCCTCAGTGCTGTGAATGAAAAATTTAGCGAGCTATTTATGATAATCATGGAAGCATCCGAAACAACTTTGCAATAATTGGTGTTGGTGGAGGTAGAGTAGCAACAGCAGTGGTGGTGAAGCGTGGAGTGGAGGTGGCTGTGGTGGTGGTGGAGGAAGTAATACCCATTTAAATGGGTACCCATGTCCAACCCATTTAAACCCAATTAATTGGGTTCACTAGGAACAGCCCAATTAAACCCATTATGAATTTGGATGGGCTTATACAGGTTTTAAATGGGTGTAATTGGGCGGATTGATTTGTTTGGGTTGAGTTTGCCGCCTCCTAGTATTTAAGAAAGAAAGCTAAAGGAGAAACCTTTTACATTTTCTGCATCAAAACTCATCTCAAATGCATTAAATGCATCTGCAAAATCATGGAGGCCATTTATATAACTGGTTTCTCAGGTTATCTAGGTGAAGTGAACCCATGCAGCTTCCATATTAATGTACTGGCTACAGAGATTTTTTTTGTGGATATAAACCTCTGTTTTATTTACAAAAGAACAAATTCTGGTTCAAGACAGGTACTATTGCATAAATGTGGTCACCCATTATCTTGTACAGCAATGTGGACATAATTGGAAAAGCATACTGTGTTTGATGAGACGCATATAAAATATGTTTTTGAAAAATAAGTACCCCACAATCTGCACAAGTCTCACTTTAGCACCCGCTGCTTAACTGTAGCAGTTACATTTACTCCTCATAGAAATGCTCTTGTTCATGTGACAATTAATACCATTAGTTTTTTCCCCTTTTTCTATTTTAATTAAGAACACTCAAAAGCTTTAGATAGTGTAAAGTGATTTTGGTTTGCAACCTTGCTAGAGTATCTTTAGCTGCATAGCTTAAGGTACAGGGGATTTTGATACTAGAAAATTGAAGAATCATTCACATCAAAGTCTGCCTTGGTTGTGTGGGTTTATTGAGAAATGGTACTGGGACACATTTGTAGCTGTACTAGTCGACATTCATTCACATCGTGCTTGCTTTGTGTCATCATTGCATCTTATGAAGGGTCCCAGGAGAAAACATTTGGAGGTAGCAATATGCTTATGCTGTCATCAATTTCCTTGTACTTCTATGTTTAGTTGGTTTCTGTTATGCAGGTGCAGGTATATTGATGGTATATCTTTCTTCTTTCTGCATGTCACTTGTTTGAGACATGTTCAAACAACCGTTGCCTTGAACTTACTAGACTGTGGGTTGTCAGCATGAACAGGTAGGTGAGAGACTTCAGGTGAGTTAGATGTTGTCATTAGATGAGCTCTCTCCCTCTCTCTCTCTCTCTCTATATATATATATATATGGAGTACTTATATTCCTCTGAACAGGTTTCGTTCATTCATCTTTTCCAAGTTTTAACTGCTTCTGTGTAGCATCTGTTGCTCTTCTTTAGCATTGAATTTCTCATTTACCATCAAGGATCTAAGTCTCTTCTTACAGGTCTTTTAAAACAATCTAAATCTCTTCACTCCGTAGCATTCAGTTTTTTAGTTCTATTAAAACTGTTGTTACCCAACAGACTAAAATTATCATAGAAGACATTAATGGAAGGTCAGGTAACGGGAGAATATCATCTCACTTCAGGGCGTTTGTTTATATTCATTTAATAATATTCTGGTGAGAAATTGTCACTAGCAATTTTTAGGAGCCACATTTGGTAGATAGCTAGTCAGCCTTTCATTTTTCGCAGTTCATCTGAATTCGTAAATGATATTGCATTGCAGGCACTTTTGATTTCTCTGACCACCAGAAGAAGGATTCTTATTTTTGAATCTTATGTTCAAGATTCATAATATATGAACAGGTGCAATTGTGTGCTAGTAATCGACTTTTGAACTGGGAGAGCAAACTATAGTTCATTTCTAGAGATTTCATTTTCCAATTTGCCGAAGTATCATATAGATCTGTGTTCACATTGAACATCGCAATGACATATGACCATGTTACTCCAGGGGTGGTTCTTGATATTGCACTCCTATGACGTGCCGTTCGTTCTCAGGATCCTTTGGCCTTAGAAGTAGTCTATGCAGGAAGGTGCCTATCACTGGGTAGTATGAGCATTCTAGTGTGCAGTACTGAGATGATATGGGTTATGGATTGTATATTTGGAGAACACAACCAAACACAGCCTTTGTTTCTTAAATCACTAGTAGTACATGAACTGAGCAATTTGGTATGGAATCTAGTTAAAGCATATTGACAGCCTTTACAAATTAACTTCTCGAATATTTTGGTAGCGGAGGTGCCTTGGAAATCTTGATGCCATTAGTGCCAATTTTGAAGTTGGGTTCAGCCAAGGATTTTCTGATTAAATCTCTTCAAAGAGATTATAGTATATTATATGCTGCTAGTTTTATGAATCTTATTGCACAACATTGGAGTAACCAATGCTCTGAAAATCGAAGTCATTTACAATGATGATAAAGTCCTTTTTGGTGTTTCATCATAAGTTGGTGATACTTCTGGAGTAAGCATTCACCATAAATCAGTGAATGGTGGAAATTTAATAATTGCGTTGAGCTTTCAACAAGAGAAATAGTTTTAACTTACTGATGGGGAGAAGGGGGTTAGTATGTAAGCCAAAATTGCAATATGTAATATCATGCAAGAAGATAATAAGTTAGTCAGTGTGGAGAAGAGAGATTTGATTTTTATTTGTTCTTAAAAAATTTCCACTGAAATGCTGGAGTAAGGAAATTGAGCAAGATAGAACGTCTGTTTTCTTCAAGTCTGGTGAAAATGAATAGAACTTACCCATTTAATGCTGCTGAGTGAAAGTTTGTCTTTGGTTTATGCCATGAGTAAAGACATAAGAAATTATCAAGTGGATGAACTAGATTCCTTCATGGATTAGTTCATCTAGCTCTTTGTTTTGCTAGTTCTGCAAACTCAATTGGCTGTTGCCCTTCCTGTTTATTGGTCATCTACCACTTGCCTTTGAAGCTTCAGTTAGCCAGTTGACGTTTCCACTTTGCGTACTTCATAAAGTTGTTTCAGCATCTGGATTTGTTTCATCAAGCACTCCAATCTCAAACTGTCTGGTAATAATGCTTCTGACAAGGAACAAACTTCATAGTATCCATGTTATCAAATTGGGATATCCTGGAGGAGTGGATGTTCGCTGTAATCCTGAGAGGCAGGCTATTTCAAGTGTTGTAGATGAGTTTGTAGCTTTTAATATGTACATTTCACTAAGAAACCTTGAATGTAAAGCAACAGCATATCTGAATTGACCATTTTAGTTAATATTGATATCAGTTTTATATTGACAAGTTTTTGAGTTTGGTTAGTTACAATCTTATGTTGAAACCAGGTTACTAATGACTGGATTTAGGCCATTGATTTTAATGCCAAGTTGCAGAATGATGGAGATTAAAGTAATTGATGTTATCGTTTGGGTTTATTTCAATTTTCGCGTGTCCTAGCGATGTAGACATGTTAGATCACAGAACGTAACCATGTATCAACTCCTCTCAATTCTTTTTCAACTTTGGTTTTAGAAGTACAACCTTCTTATAAGGTCCTCATCCCTTTATGTTTCCTTTAACTAGTGTCACAAAATATTGCATCCCCCTTCTATGAACTTTGTTTCAATAGATGATTCTTTGGTTGAGGTCTTCAGCATTTTGCTTCATTCTTTCTTGTTCTTTCTTTATTTTCAACTATTCATCTGACTTTCCATCCCTGAAAAAAAAAAAAGAAAAAAAAAACATCTCGCAATGATGGCGAAAAGGCTCTCAATGCCAGCCACCTATTCCTTCTTCTTAATTTGGACCTATGATGGGAACCTCTCTCTCATGCAAGGTACAACAATCCTCGATCTGGAGTCGCACTAGGCCCCCCCCAGCCCTAGGCAATGAACTTGACTGAAATACATTCTTGCGAGGAAAGAAGTTGCTGTTAATCATGCAGTAGCTGGATTAAATTTATATGAAGTTGCTGTAATAGAAAAACATCTTGGTGCTATAACTTTCATATAAGGTCCTCAGTCATCAGTCCTCGCCTCTTTATGCCTCAATAGTGGATTCTTCTGTTGTGGTCTTCGTCCTTTTTCCTTCCTTTTTTTCTTGTCCCCCCACCCTATTTTTTTGTTAAATATTTTCATTGAGACAACTGCTGGGGACAGATACTTATCCTTTTTGTTTTTTGTTTTTTGTTAGGGATAGTACTTCATATGCAGTGCAGGCCAAGTTAACATTTTGGTTCAATCTATATATGGGTATTTCAATTTTCGGGTTTCCTGGTGATGTAGATATATTAGAAATAGCAGAAAGTTGCCATGAGTCATCTTCTCAATTCTTTTCAGTTTTGGTTTTAGTAGCACAACGTTTGAATTGAGGTCCTCACCCCTCTTTGTTTTTCTTTTTGACTAGTGTCACGAAGTATCGGCTCCCCCTTTAAGGTCTTCGTCCTTTTATATTTTCTTTCTTTTTTTTCCTTTTTTTTCAGTGGGACAACTGTTGGGGTCATATACTTAACCTTTTTCTTTCCTTTTCTTTTCTTTTCTTTTCTTTTCTCAGGGATAGTATTTTTCATGCAGTGCAGGCTTAGTTAAGATCTTGGTTCAATTTCCAGTGAGAAATATTGTAATATTTTTTCAAAAAAAAGGTGTTGATGTGTTTTATTGTTGTGACCTGTGTTACATGGACTCGCCACTTTGGGGCGAAGTACCCGTGTCGACACAACACGACACGGGTGCGGGTGTGGGATCTGTGTCAGATTTGTCTATTCTCTATCGGACATGGCTCACAGCAACAGAAATGAAAGAGGTGAGAGTAAGAGATAAGAGATAACCTGGTCGAATGATCCAGTCGAAGCTCCATCCGGTCGATCCAGTCGAAGATCGAAGCTCCGTCAGTCGATCGAACAGCCGACCACCACAAACGACTTCGAAAAGCCTCTCTCTCTCTCTCGCCTTCTCTCTATCCCTCGGGATCGCGATCGCGATCTATGGCTTCCCTTTTCTCTCCCTCTCTCTGTCGTTCCTCTCTTGATTCCTTCGTATCTATCTATACATAATAATAATAATAGTTTATATATAATAATAGTAATAGTAAAGGAACTGAATAATATATAATAATAACTATTATAATAATAACTATTATTATTATATATTATATAATAATTATTATATAACATATAATATATTTATAAGATAATACATACTTATATATATTAATTAAAAAAATAAATATATGTATGTAAAATAAAATAAAAAAATTAATTGGAACATATTATTTAAAAAATATAATAAATAAATAAAATAATTAATGTATATTAAAATAAAAATATTTATAAAAAAATTAAAAAATTTGACGTGTCCCCTGTTGTATCAGTATTCCCATTTTTTAGAAATTGTCGTGTCCCATGTTTGCGTGATAATAAATATATATATTTTTTTAAGAACTATTTAACGTATCCCCGTACCCGTATCCAAATTTGGATACATATCCATGTATCCTTAATTTTAATTTTGAAGTGTCCGACCCTTAGATACGCACCCGCACCCGACACCGTACCCGCGTCCGTGTAACTTAGGTTGTGACTTGCTTCTCGAGGACGATATTTCTCATGCCTGGGGGGCACATCAGTGCCTTGGTTCATTTTTACCAGGGATAAAAGTTGGAGTCCTAGTTTGAAGATATTTTTTTGGGAAAAGAGTTTGAACGGGTTCTTTAGGATTAATGACATAGATAAATTTGAAGGATTAAATGTTACGTTCACTGTCATCTGTTGTTGTTTACATTCCCCTGGTTCATATCTAGTTTCATTCTATCTTTATTCATTTTGAAATTTAGTTTATGTAGTGGGCGGAGGTTTAAGAAGCTTTGATAACCAAACAAAATTTCTTTGATGCTAGCTCAAAATTTTTTTTTAACATTGATAAACCCATACCATTAACAGAAGGACTATTTGTTCCTCTAGTGTATTTTCTTGCAAATATTTTTTCAATGTGTTAATTGATGATCTAAGTACTCTGTTTTTTTGCTCCTCATGAGATGATTTGGGATGCTATTGTGTCTCTTGAATTTAATTTTTTTTGCATGGTCTTTGGCTTATAAAAAACTCAACACTAGTGATATGATTCAGAAAAGGAGGCTTAATTGCTTTTTTCTTCCACAATGGTGTGTTATGTGTACTGCGGGGAGAGGAAATTGTTGATCACTTATTTTTGCGTTTCCCTATAGCTATGGCTTCATGCCAATTTTTTTTTTTTTTTTTTTTTTGAGTTGGTAGATATGAATTAGGCGTCTTCGGCTTCTTGTGTTTAGATGTTTATGCTTGACTATAGGGGTTCTGGATCCAAAACGAAGGCTCGAGTGCTTTGGACATGTGTATTTTGTGCTTTGTTTTGGGTTTTTTTATTAGAAATGAATGCAGGGAATTTTTAGGAAAAGTGTGAAGATCTTAGTGGATTATGGGATAAGTCTGTATTTGTCTTCCTTGTGGGCTTCGGTTTGTCATCCATCCAAAGGGTTTCCTTAATCCTTATGTACGTCTTTAATTGGTGTGCTACTTGTGATTTGTAATCTTTTTGGATATGTCCTTAATCCTTATTTATCTCTTTCTTTATTTAATAAAATGGCTTGTTGCTCTTCGGAAAAAAAAAAAAAAAAAATTAATCCTTTAGGTTAGTTTTGAATTTTAATTTCTAAACAAGAAAAACCTCTTACCAACTTGTTCATGTAATCACATTAATAATCAGGCTCCATTAACACATAATTTATCATCCAAAAGACATGCATAAGTATGGACAATAAGGAAACATAGCAAATAATGAGAATGGTAATACCTAGGGTATTACATTTTGGACCACAAAGGCAAGACTTGTTGCAACATCATCATCTCTTTTCCTTTGTTCGGGGGATATTGAATTGGAGAAATATGGTATTGAAGGAGGTTTTTTTAGTCCTTTACCTTGTGGAGAAAAAGGCAAAGTTTCATTTTCCAAGAGGTCTTTTATTTCATTTTCTGGGGAGTTGACAGAAGAATGTATTGTCATTAATGGGATGGGGGTCTTCTATGATTTACTAGATTGTCAAGGTTTCGCTCTTTCTTTTTTTCCCTCTTTTTTTTTTTTTTTTTTTTTTTGGGCCCAGGTATGGAGTTAATAGGGTAGGGGTGGGGGGAGGGGAGGGGTTCTTACTTTCTTTCTGGCTCTTCTCCACAAGATCATGGGATGCCTACAATTGTTCTTCATTTTCAAGTGTATCTAGGTTATCAAATTAAAATCTACTGGTTTGTCACTCATACTTTGTGGGGGCAGTGTGCTTGTCTTCTTCACTCATCCTTGTCTTCTTATCATTGTTGCAATAATCTCCATGCTTCTACTTACTGGTGTTCCTACATTTAAGCATAGTCAAAATCTACTTAATTTGTCTTGACCTATGTAGCCAGTGATGTCGGATCCTTCCTGCCTCTATGATAATAGTGTCAATGCAGTGTGTTTCTTTTAGATCATGCTTTAACCAGACTTTGCCAGTGTTTCATGCTATTTGAGCAATATCATAAATTGTCTCATCCCGTGGAAGCCCTAGCATTTGGTAAAGATCTCAATCTTCATGTTTACAAAGGTTTGGCTGAGATACTTACACTCGTAGTGAATATTGTAATCCTCCTATATATACTTAATTAATTTATTTGTGATAAATAATGCTCAACTCGTTGAGTTTCTGCACTAGAAGAAGGTTTTATTGTCAGGTGAATCAGTAATTCCACATTTTCCCTTGTTCGTTTGTGTGTGTGTGTGCCTTTTTTCCCTCCCCTTTGATGTAAGGAAGCCCTTCTTCTCATGTGTCTTAAGAGTTGAATGCCTGGATCTGAAAAAAGAGAGAATGAGAAGAAATTTGGTATGCATGTGTTATGTATATATACATAAGCAATTGAAAGATTATTTCTATGTTTCATTTGTTTTAGATTTCATGCTTCTTATCATATTGGTTTGGAACTATCTCCCGGGTCAGTTTCTTGTTGGTCCTTCTCTGACTTCTATTCCTTCCTGTTCTGTGGTTTTGTAGGAGAGAGGATGATGGTACAGGCAATTGCGGTGACCCAATAATATCAGTAGAGGAGGGGAGGGTAGCTATAATAAGGTAAAGAGAATTCAAGCCAGGACTTATCATTGGAGGCAGGGGTAATGGAGCATGGAGGCTTGCAGGAATCAGTAATTGGTGATGGATTAGTTGTAGGCAAGGTCAAGGAATTGTTCTGGGCGAACAATTTATTGAAGGTCTTAGGTGAGAATGATATTGATTATTTTTAATTTAAGGATGGGAGAGCGGCAGTCTTATTTCAAGGTGTGGTCATTGATGCTGAGATGGATTTGGAAGATTTATGAAGTTCTAAGCTAAGAGTGGATAGGATGGAGGGGGTTAGGTTCAGAATCTATTAGGCAGAGATGGTAAGACAATAACAGGAAAGGGTGATGGGTTTATGAAGCCAGATGACAGGTTCAGTTCAGTTGAGGTGGATAATGTGGTGAAAAGGATTTATGTGGTGAAGGGAGGGGGAGCAGAGGTTTGGGAAAAATGGGCAGGTTTTGTGTCAAGGGAGATGTTGGAGATAGGAGAAGTAATTAGGCGGTTGGGAGGCTCAGGTCGTTTGTCTTTGGGAACATATGGGCAATGAATTTGGGGAGATGGTGTTCAATTTGAAAGTGGATCATGAAGGAGAAGTTATTTATTCACAGAAGGTGGAGGGAATTTGGGGATTGTTATAGGGTGTGGTATTGGGAAGGATCGTGATTCAAGGGGCTCATGTCATTATATTTACTCAATATTGATGCCAAAGGTCTTTTATTTCTCACAAATGTAGATAGGTGCATTGGTAAGGGCAAGAAGGTGAAGGGAAGGAGGGAAAGGTCTTCTAGGAAGGAGAAGGAACTTAATAGACCTCAATGTTTATTTATTTACAATAATAAAAAAAAGGGTGTGTGAAGCTTTAAAGGAGCAATGTGAGAAGAAAAAAATTGTTAACCTTTTTTATTTTCACCGAAGAGTTCATTAGGCTGTTTAAGGGGAAGTATGTTGATATCAAATCTGTTGTTATTATTGGAAAGGCGGGAGGAGATAAACGGAAATCAATGATAGAAGAAGACATCATATTTTTTTTCGAATTTGGCACTAGTTTGAAATTCATTTGTTGGTCATAGATATCTTTGGGATTGGATTTGAGATTTGGGTTTTTTTCTTGTACTCTTTCCTTGTTCCTTTTTCTTTTTCTTTCCTTTTTGGGCTGTGTAAGGGTTCCCCCTCGGCACATTCTCTAATACAATATCCTTTTTGTTGTTGATCGAAAAAAAATAAATAAATAAAAATAAAAATTCATGCATTCCATAGACTTACTGCAAAATTTTCTGATTATTTGGAATATATGTTGTGGAATTCAGTATTCTTTGTGGGAAATTCTTCATTTCGTTGAAGTATTGCATCTGCAGTTAACATCCCTTCTCGGGACCAATTAGTGGAAATGTTCCAATCTCATCTTTTGATTGAACATTTGACACATTTGTGCTACTGAACTTCCAGAAGTCTTTTCCCATACATGCAGGTGGTTCCTATCCTGATTCCAGAGCTTGTTTAGCATCCTACATTGAGGGAGCCATGGAGCATAGACACTTTCCCAACTCATTCAGAACAGAGATGGAACAAGGTCATGACAGGAATCATTTAACTTCAGAACAGCCTTACATTCATATGGGTACTGGATCTTCACACTTTGTTTATATTTTCATTAAAAGCTTCTACTACCAGACACCAACAGGCAAGGTAATGCTGCCTACATGCATGCTACTGGAGTCAAAATTTTTGGGTATTATATGAAAAAAGATAATAAAAAAGGACTGCCCTCTTAATTTGATCTCTTATTGATGTTCAGCCATGTTTATAATATAGAATTTTAGATAATCAATTATACCAAGGTCTGAATTTGCTAAGATGCCATTTAAACTGCATTGGACCTCCATTTGGCCTCTTTTTAAATTGATCCGTTTGCCACAAAACTTGTTGCTCATGAAATTTCTATTTCAGGAAGGGCTGTTGCTCCAGAAAATGGTTCTTTGGTTTATCCAATGGACAATATGTTAAGGGGAGGAGTGCACTGTGCTTCTCCATGGAATTCAGAAAGCAGAGCAAATGAGTATCCTTCTTCAAGTTTCAGCATGGAAGTATCACATTTCCAACCAGCTTTTTCAGGCCCGTCTTATGTTCCCTTCCCTCAGCCATCAGCTGCTGGAAACTTGTATCTGACCCCAGAGAATAATTCTGGCCATGCACATTCTAATTACAACGACAGATGCAATATTCATGAAAATGAGCATGGTCTACTAGATTCTGTAACAGGCAGTGTAAGGGTTCCATTTAAAAGAAAAAGTCCAGGCATTTCTGTAGCCTGTGAAAGAGGTAGCACAAGCAGATTCTATGGTGCAGGAAGTTCCTCTAGTTCTTCTGAGTTGCCACAGGAAAAACCAACCTCTAATCATCAAAACATCCCTTTTGGTCAGATTGGCTTACCTCATTACGGTGGTGGTAGCCTCTCAATTTCCGGTGAAGATTCATTAAGGAATGTGAGAAGCCGATCTAGACTTGATTTGGAAGCTAACCCAATGCAAACTCATTTACCCAGCTATTCTTCTCATCATTACAATTCAACAACTCATCCATCAAATTACCATGGAGCGACAGACCTTACAAATATGAATTCTGATGGAACCACTCAACAGTGGAACTTCAATACTCTGTCTCATCCTGCTCATGGAATGATTCAAACATCAGGTATGAGCTACAGTTGGCCATCTAGTAACTAATGTTTTGTAAGTTAATAATCTCTATTAATTAAAATTTTGTGTAGTAACAAATTTAGCTGCATGGTAGATAACTAATATTCTATTACTCAAATTTTTTGAAAAAATAAAAAATCCTTTCATAATATTAATTGCTGGAGTTGAAAAATACAATTGTGCATGCATGTGCATTATATAAGAATTATTAGTAACATATATACATATCCTATATTGAGGGGAAAAAAGACATGAACTTTAAAACTATACTTTCATGTCCTATTATTAGGCTGAAAATTTTATAATCATTAACTAGTTTTTCCTGTTCATAAATTTCAAAGAAAAGGTTAAGATTTTATAGTCCTATAAATTAATTAGTATCAGATAATCTCACAATATTATTAATTATTAAAGGGTCGATTTTATATTGTTTTTGCTCTTGATTTGTAAATTATTTCTAAGTGAGATGTTTGGCAAAGCTGAAGGTACCAATGGCTTGAGCAATGAGAGCAACCAGCTTCTTGTGACAGGAAGTGGGACGCAGATTGGTGGCTGCCACTCTGATACTGTTTCAAGCAGAAATCTTGTTTCGTCTTCGCACTATCTTCATGCTCCCCCCATTCAGGGTGCAAGGGAAGGCCGTGCTAGTCATTCACAGAGATCAATACCTTCATATAGGGCTGGTCCAAGCTACGCTCGGTCGGGACATGAAGCAGCTCCTACAGAAAATAGTCTGCGGTCATTCTCAGAAACTTACGCTTCTGGGTATTCGAGACCATTTTCTGGAGGATGGCGCAACAGCCACAGGAATGGAAGACCGAGGATAGCTATTGAGAGATTCCAATCAATTTCCAGTATTGTGGATTCCCATGACAGAATTGGATCTGAGGTGTGTAATTTTCTCTCTCTTGTAATTCTTGTGCTAAACTCGAGTGAACATGATCTAGTTAACTCAATGGATATGTTGTGTGGTAGGAGGCTGAGAAGATCCTGAGTTGTAGGGTCCCAATTCAGAGATTTTCCAGTCTTGATCTGATGATGTGATTACTAGTACTTCAAACTTTGCCATCTTATTATTGGATTGCTCCCCATGAGCTGACTAGATGGTTGATTCAATAGCTAATAGCTATGTTACGAGGACATTCTCATTGACTTCTGGGTTCGATTCCAGTTCAAAGGGTGTCATATAGTGAGCTTGGTTGTGCAATCACGGCCTTGCCTGTGTTAGATAGGGCAAAGGTTGTAATGAAGATATTCTTTTTATGGAACTGCATATGAAGCCTAGAAATAAATGATCATCGATCTCAATCTATTATGGCCAATCGTAATTATTATTATTTTTTGAGATCTTAGATCAGTACTGAGACATGTACAGGGATGAATTCTTGGATTGTCCTTGATCTTGCCAACAGTTATCATGTAATTACTTCTTTTCATTTGATTAAATGTGTGCTTTGTTGAGCATGACTATTTTTAATTAAATGAGGCTGAGGAATTGTAACTAAGTTAAAAATTTTAGAATTCTTCTGATCTTGTCTTTTACTGTTTGTTATAAACCAATCAAATTATTGTCAAATTTGGTTTTTTAACACATTGTTTCCGAAATAAACCGTCAGGGCCCTTGAGTTTGTAAGTGCCCCTTTCGCTAGCTGCAGTTCTGGATTTTTGACATTACTAGTTGACAGGAGCTAGTCCTTATAGGGTGCTCTCACGCTGAGCTAGCCAAATCTGATGTTTTTTTTACTGGAGATATCCAAACAAAAACTTCGTCATGCACCAAGATTTGCATGTGCTTAGCTGGAGCTTATTGGAATCTGGATCTGTACAGTGTCATTTTAATGGAGGATTCTCCGCAATGGTTTTGTGCAATGATCTTGCTGTGCTTTTTACCACATGAAGCCATGTCAGCAAAGTACATAATCCAACAGTTCGAGTTTAAAATTGAAGTAAAATAACAATAAAATACCACGTATTTTTTAAACCACACCCCCTAAAATGATGTTTTGTTTTAACTTGAAATATAGACCACTGTTGTACCACTGTAAAACCATTGCAATGACATCTCTGGCAGAGGATCCTGATACCATTTAAATTCTCAAAGTTGTGATCAGTTAATTGCGCGAATCCTTTTTCCCTTGCAGGATCTCATGATGATGGATCACTCATCCTTTTATGCGAGTTCCCGGAATTTGCTTGATCAATATAGAGACATGAGGCTAGATATTGACAACATGAGTTATGAGGTTGTTAATTTTAACACTGATCTCTTTTAGTGAAAGTATCCCAGCTCACTGTTTTTTTTTACCCTCTTTTTGTAAGTTTATAGTCTTCTCCAGCTCTTACAAATGTTAAATTGGCTTTGGATAGGAACTTCTTGCTCTAGGGGAAAGGATGGGGAATGTTAGTACTGGCTTGTCTGAAGATATGATTTCAAGGTGTTTAACTGAAACACTGTATTCTTCAGATCAAGATCGTGGAGAAGGAAGCTGTGCCATCTGTATCGTAAGTAAATTGTTTTGTCTTGCCGCTTTAGACCCTCAAGGGAATAGATTTCAACTGTGGTTCAGATCCAACATTCAAAGAACAGGTTTATGATTATTGTAATATGCCAAATGGTGCATGCATGGAAACTTACATTTTAGTCACCCTCTTTAGATTGTTGGATATGTTGAGATTTCTGAACCTTACCAAATCTACTGTAGAGAGAAGTGAATGTATACATAATAATTACTGAATTAAGTAATTTCTTGGATATTTTTAGATAAAAAATTCCTTATATTTCTTAGCTGTCTTCCATATATTGTCAGGTTCTGATATTTTCATGTAATGTAGGAGGTGTATATATTGGCCTGATTATATATACCCAAAAGCTTTTTTAAATAGAAACTCAGTTGTACGAAGCCCCAAGTCACAACTAAGGTACCACTCAAATCATTTGTGAGGGACAATATATAAATTGAACCTGAGGAGAATTTATAAATCGTTAATAGATAAATTGGACCTAGGAAACTGAAATGTCTTCATTATAAAAACACATTTATGTTTGGATCTTGAATTTGTGGAAGGAGCGATGGAAAAAGTAAAAAGAGTTCAGCTTATATTTTATTCATTTTTCCCTATTCATTTCTTTTCCCTCCACAAATCCAAACACAGTGCTAATGGTAAACATATGAATTTTGTGGAATTTGGGAATTCCATGGTAGGTCATCATTGGCGTCATAAGATGGCCTATTTGAACCTGGCAGTTTAATACCTGAATAAATACTACAATCTAATACATTTTGGAGAACCCTTTCATGAGAGGTGGCTCAAAAAAAAAACAAAAATAGTTGTGCACAGGCGCCCAGATTTATCATCAACCACATAATTTTCCCAACAGAGAGGTTGATCTCCGTCCGCCATCTGTTTCCTTTTTTTTCTTTTGAGTTCTCAGAATGTCTCTCCATAGGATACTTTTCAAATATATATATATATAATAATAATGTCTCTCCATAGGAGAGAAGCAACTAACTCAAGCTTCTTTTTTTTTTTCTTTCTTTTCGTGTGTGTGTGTGTGTGCGCGTGTGTGCGCGCGCGTGTTTGGTATTGTATCTGGCAGGAACAGTATGCTAATGAGGAGGAAATTGGAACTATGAAGAACTGTGGACACGAATACCATGTGAGATGCATTAGGGAGTGGTTGCTGGTGAAGAAAGTCTGCCCTATCTGCAAGGCTCCTGCTCTAACAGATTCTTTAAAGGAGGAATAAATCCACATAGACTGACTTTTGATTGAAGTCTTTTCTCGTTATATTCTTGTATATATATATATGGAAGCATTTTCTCTAAATAGGAATTGTGCAAATTATATATATATTAATGAACTCTGTTAATATCATTGCATTGCTTTCCTATAGCATTCAAATTGAATAGTTTGGCAACTTCAATTCCGAAGAAGAATGCCTCCTGCTTCGGTGAGGGTCCAAGACTGGCTTTTTGAATGGCCAAATTTGAAGAAGGTAATATAGATCAAATTACTTGTCTTAAATTTTATTATTATCATTGTTGCTTACTATATGGATACAAACCTTAAAAAGTGTAATTTACAAAAACACTGGTTGTCCTATTCATGAAGTTCTGCAAAAGTTCCAAGCTCGTGAAGCGGGTGTAATGCGATAGAATGAAAATTTTGAATTTTGGATTAGGGTTTAATTTGATAGATGAGACGAGTGTAATGAGGTGTTTTTGTTGAGTGAGTAGAATTTACCAACTGTACTATTTCAAAATTGATGAGGCTATAGTGATGTATTCAGTGACTAGTTGAGAAGGATAAAGCGTGATTGATCCAATCTAATACCGTGTTTGGAATGATTATTTCAACAACATTATGAACCCATGTTACACATTATGAACACATGTTTGAACTCACATTCAAGTATTTTGTTTATTAATGAAAAATATTTATGAAGGTAGGAATTTCATTTGACAATTTGAGGCTAAAGTTCATGAATTTGAGTAGAAATTTTGAAAGTGAGGAAAAATATGAAAATATAAATGAAATAGAAGTTAATTTTTCTGTCTTTCCCTTCTCAATATTTTTTTTTCTTCAAATTTATGATACAAGGAAAATCTAAATCGATAATATTTTTATTCTAATTGGGTGAATTTTATACCACCCTTTTCTAGATAAGAGCATTTCTAATTTTTTACCTTTTCTTTCATTAAATTTTTTGATGAAAAAATATTCAAAAATCATTTTCAATTATTTCATCAATAATGAGTCATGTTTTTATCAAATTGAAAACTTAACAAATTTACATTTGATAAAAATTTTAAATGATGAAAGCATTGGAGATAATTTTTTTAATCAAATTTGATGAAAAAGGCAATTTAGAATAAGAAGGAAATTTTTAAAAGTTAAAAAAAAAATTGAAATAGTTTCATATCAAATAAACATTTTAACTCAAATTTATAATAAAATGTAAAAATCAGTGATGGATTGAAATGTCTAAGTTATGTTGGCACACATTTGGAGCAAAAACCACTCCAAAGAGTCTGAACACCGAGTATTTATCCTGTGTTTCGAGTATTTAATATTGGCGCTGTGTTCAATCAATAATAAAGAACTTGTTAAAAATAAAGAAATAATAGAAAAATGATAAGATATCATTGGATGGGTACAGAACCATGTGGTCTTCCTAAGTTGTGGAATAATTTTAGCTAAACATTTTTTTTTGTATTCATCAATAATTTGTTAGTCATATGAATAAAAAAATGACTTGTCATTTCTTTTATACTGAAAGATATATTATTCCTTATTTATCCTTGTATTGTCATACCATCTATATTAGTTTTGGTCTATTTAATCTTATTAAAAAAGATATTAGTATAATTATATCAAAATTATAAGACTAGTTGTATTTTCTTCAAATTTCATGACAAGTTGATGTAATTTATTTATTTGGGTTCATATGTGGAACCATGAGTTTTTTTTTTTTTTTTTTTAAATATTCCCATAAAAAACTAATTAGAGAATTGACCAACTTTTCAAACTATTTAGGAAACTAACCTACTTTTTTAAATCACATTTTCAAAATACAATTTTGAAATTAAAATTGCATCTTGAACATACAATTTCACCTTAAAATTGCAAGTTAAAAATGATGACATGGTGAAATCGCATTTTCAACATGCGATTCAAAAGCAGGTTAGTTTTTCAAATAATTTAAAAAGCAGGTCAATTCTCTAAGTAGTTTTTTTTTTTGGAATATTAAAAAAAAAAACTCGTGGAACCATACCTGGTTTTATCTGAGCCCTGCCTCCCTTATATCTGAATTTGGATTAAGAAACATGGATGGACTAAGGAAGGGGCTATGTAATATTTTCCAAATGCTACCTTTTTTTCTTTGGGTTAAATTCACTTTACCCTATTAATTTAATTTTTTTTTTTTTTTAAGAGATTAAAATACATTACTCCTAAAGTTCAAATATACGCAGAGAACTCCTTTATAATTTTAGAGTGATCCTAACTCTATTAACGGTAAAGATAAAATGATCTTAATATCTTTCTACCATTTTGCCTCGTTTTTTTTTTTTTTTTTTTTTTTTTTTTTTTTCTTTGCTCTTTTCTATTATACAATTTTTTGCTTTTGTTATTTTCTTTGCTCTTTTCTATTATACAATTTTTTCCTTTATTTAACTAATTAAATCACAAATTATCCCCAAATCCCTAATTATTTATTATAAATCACATTATACACACAATTTCTAATTTAAATAACATTAATTTAATTAAATCACCAATTATGCCTAAATTTCTAATTTATTAACTCAAAGAAACTATAGAAACTCAAAGAAACTAACTGGATACATATTATATTATATTACATATATATACTGGTGAATGACCAGTGCCAAAGAGACTCCCAACTCAAATTTAAGTCTTTTGACTCAAAATTTAGTTTACTGAATATATTTGAAATTTTTATCAAATATGGCAGTTTTATCAAATTTAAATCTTTTGACTTAAATTTAGTTTTTAATTTTGACCTAAATTAATTAATTGAAAATTTTAAAATTCAATTGTATTGAACTGAAGCATGAACAACATTATAATATTAAAATGAGAGTATAAGATTCACTTTATATAAGTAAAACAACAAATTCACTAGTTTCAATATAAAAGTTAATAATTGTTTAGGTTAAGAGTTTATTTTAAATCAAACAAATCAAACCAATACCACTAATATCGCGGTTAAACTAGAGAATCAATCAAATTGAAAATGGTTCAACATAATCGGCTAAATCAAAAGACTAATCAACTTACACAAAAATTAATTAATTAAAATTTAAAATTTAAACTGTCTTGAACTGAAGTATGCAAAATATCACAATATTAAATAAAAGCATAATATTCGCTTTGTATAAGTGAAACAATCTACTTCTTTCTTTTCACAATGTGAGATTGTGTAAAATAGGAGTTAACAATTGTTTAGATGAAAAATTTATTTCAGATCAAATAATCTCAGCTAACAATATTTAATTTGATCAATCCACATTGTTCTAACTAATTATATCTCTTAGACATTTTTAAAAATTATCCTGTTTTAATTGCTGCCATGAATTGAAAGTCTTGCTATGGAAATAATGGTTGGTAATGGATATTCTGTAGGGGTGGGCGTAGATCGGTTGCGGTCACGGAACTTTCAATTCGTCATCCGTCCGTCAATTTGGCGGATATGAATTGAGCGGATTGGCGGATTAGCGGATGGATGCGAATCAATTTGACGGTTTAAAATTTTATAAATTTTCAACATAATTAAACTTGTGCACTTTCTTTAAAAAAAAAAGAAAAAAAAAGTATTACTGTCAATAATTTATAAAAGTATTACAATCATTGGATGTCTCATTCAAAGAAAGAAAGTTTGAAACTTTAGAATATTACAATCACTGCATGCCTCATCCACATATTACAATCATAGCATGTCTCATCCACATAAAGTATTACAATTTGTGGTTCTTAAAATATAAAAACAATTCAAACCACCAAAACCATGAACAAAGCAATAGTAGAGATTGTACACCTCTGTATTGTTACATCTATATCTGTTTTTCAAAACAAAAACTATTATTTTTAGAGTTAGATTTAAATATATATATATATATATATATAGATAAATAATGCATTTATTTTTTTTTCAATTCAAAAAATATATTCAAGTTGAAAGCTCTTTTTCAACACTTTCAACAGAATATATTCAACATAATATTTAAACTCTTTTTCAATTGAAAACACAAATAGAATATCTAAACAAATTCAAAACACAAAGTTTTATAAATTATTAGGGATGCTCGAAGTTTGGCGGTTCAGTTACGGCCAAAAGAATCTCAAATCCGCCATCCGTCAAAAACTAGTGTCGCGTCCCAAATTTTATTTACTCGAAAACATTACCAAGAGTCTGAAATTTAGATCCATTTTTTTTTTTAAATTAAAAATATCTATTACCCTTGAGTAATAGAAACATAATAGTACATGATCTCTCTCATGATGAATACAACAATAAATATAATACATGTCAAGCTCCCGCTACAGAGTTACAAATAAATAATTACAAATATCAAAGTACAATGAGGTTACACACAAGATATACATGAACTTCCTAATCCTTTAACCAATCAATCTGAATTCTCTTCCTGTAAAAAAAAAAAAAACAATAAGGGGTGAGCACAATTGCCTAGTAGGAATCTCATAGTTCTAAAACAATAACCATCCTATAGATAGAAATGATCATGCATACAAGGTGATACCATATAGTAGATGATGTTTTATAATTTCAAAATATCATATGTAGAGTATCTTTTTCTCAAAGTTTATTTGAATATTTAAGGAAAACCTTCGACCATCAAAAACTATCCCTTTTCATTAGAAAACCATAAGTCCTTTTTGAAAACATGTTTAAGGAATCATATAATTTTATATTTATTAACCCATTCCAAAATATTCCTTATTAAATTCTCATCTTAACATTCCTCTTTTTATTCTCATTATCTCCTTTTACTAGTTACATTTATTAAAACTCCATAACCTCAAATTCATATTCCCTTAATATCCAAAACAACCCTCATACACTCCATTCCTACCTGTTCATCCTTTATTGCTATAACTCTTTAACGTAGAAATCCAAAAACAATTACATCACATCCATATTTGCATTATCAACTATAACTCAACACATCACACGGACAATAAACCCTTTTTTTAATTCAATTTCTCAATTAATCACAAAGTAAAACTCTTAATATTTCCTTACAGATACAAACAACCCAGTGAGTTCTTTATCACCAATCCCTTATCCAATTACCATTTCATTATCTATTCTTTTCAAATAATTTCTTGTAACAACCCTCGTCACTGTTTACCGATTAACCACTTATTACTGCTAAACTGAGACCGATTATGATTGGTAACTGAATTGATTGAAGTACTGAATTGATTGACTGAAATCTGGAACTGAATTGACTAAGTATATCTGTTTAATTGTATGTTTATCTGTTGACTATTTAATTATCTGTTCAGTTTTTATGTTTAAATTGCGAATTGAAGGCCTTATCGGCGGCCGAACCAGGA